GACAGAAAGGCAGGGGAAAGAGGAGAAAGGGAGTATTTTGAGGTCCTGCACTCAGCTCATGCTGCTGATACCTTTAAATTGGAGCCAGAGATTTAAAAATAAACTTTGGAAGTGATAACAAGACATCCAAGTCCTCCAGCCACTTGGCCAGCTGGGGATGGAGTCTGATGTCATCCCTGATGGGACAGCAGAGTACCTAGTGCAGGCTGGGCTGCTCCTCAGGACCCACCATGGTGCTCACACCACTGGGACCTGCCCAGTGGGGTTTAGTCACAGCCATTGGGGGTCCAAGGTGATCTGAGGTAGCAATGCTGGAGGGACAATGCTTAAAGGCCTTGAAAACTGTCCCCATTCATCCTGGGTGTCCGTGGTAGCACTCAGAACTCTTCCAGGAACACCTTTTCCACCAAATATCTGAGTTATGGGGTTGAGGCTGTGGAGGATAAAACTGCACATCCTGAGCTGCTGTCCATCTGCGAAGCAGCCAGGATGAACATTTCGATGCCCTGAAATATCTTTTAGCACCAGGGAAGGAGACAAACACCATTTCATCCACATCTCATCAGGGACACTGTGACATTTCTGGTGCCTGGATGCAACATCTGTGGGGTCTGCAAGACTCTGATCCCTTAAATCTCCTCGTGAGCTGAGGATGGGGCAGAGCCCAATCTAGGTCAAGCCCAAATGAGATAAGGCACCTCTGCCCTGTGGTATAGTGCTGTTTGCAGGATGCTGCCTTGCCCTGGACCATGCTGGGTTTTCAGCAAAGATGTCTGGTGCTGTGTCAAGCTACAGCAGATTGATGTGTTTGTTTTGGCAGCTGTGCACATCTCTCAGTTAGGAAAAGCCTGATTAATCCCAGGGATGGCTTTTCCTAGCAAACCACAGCCACTGAGTGAAAAGAGCCCTGGCTGCCCACATGTTTTGATGGCTTTATTTGAAATGTTAAAGGAGATACCTGGATAGCAGCATAAGCCATGGGTGCGTCCAAAGGGTGAAAAGAAGATCAGAGAATTTAATGAGAAATTTTTTGCTGAACCAACCCCCATCAAAGCCCTAGGTTTTATATTGGTGAATAATTTGTTTTCATGTGGTGGTAGTGACTGGTGGTGGCATCTTCTCTGATCCCACAAAGGAGTTGCTGGTCTAGGAGTTTTCTGCAGACATGGATCCTGCTCAGTGTTGCTGCTGGTTTCTGCAAGATGATTTTCCAGTTTTTAGAGAGGAACAAATGAACCATAAGTCAGGAACTTGTGGAAGCAAGTTCACCACAAGCCTCTGGATTACAGCAAGCAGCTGTCATCTCTCTTCACTGGCTTTTCCAAATTGGAGACATCCCTTTTGCACAGATAAATCAGACACTTTGTGACTCTCTGTCTCTCTCCACAATGTATTTTCAGATCAGACTCACAGTTCTGGGGGTCCTGATGCCAATTCCCTGTGCCTTTGGAAATCAGACTGCAGGTGAGGACAGTAGCTGAGGAGGTGAGGAGCAGAGCTGCTCCCATCACCATGGGGACAGCGATCCATATCCTGATCTGACTTTGGTTTATTCTCCTGCCAAGGAGGCACTTGGGTCACTGCTGCACATGTCCCAGAAAGGCAGAGCACAATTTCCACAGGACAGGTGAAATATGCTGCTCAAGCACTGTGCTTCAGGAAAGTCTTTCCCTGCATTTCCAGGACATTCCCTTTTCCTATTTAAACCCATATAGGCAGGGGAAGATGTCCAGGCATTTCTGTCAGGCCACAACCTGAGCATGGGCTTGGTGTCACAGCTGCTCTGGCTCTGACCAGAGATGGCCCCAGTGTGGCATCTGGGATGAATATTTTGGGTATTTATTATCCATAGGTGGCAGCAGCTGCCTGTGCCGGGCGGCCGCTGCCCTAATCCCAAACCTGGCAGCGAGAAACAGAGCCGGGAACAGGCAGGGGAGGAGGAAGAGGAGGAGGAGCGAGAGAGGGAGGAGGGGAAAAGGAGGACAACCCTGAGCACAGGTCCTGCCTGCTCCCTCCTCTGCAGCAAGAGGTCCTCAGCAGAGGGAAAATCAAGGAAACGCCTCCGTGGGGCAGGATCAGGCTGCACAGCGCTCTGGAGAGCTCAGGTCTGCGTTACTGGTCAGACTGCCAGAGGAGCTGGGGCTGCCCCATCCCTGGAAGTGTTCAAGGTCAAGTTGGACAGGGCTTGGAGAACCTCTGGATTAGTGGAAGGTGTCCCTTCCCATGGCAGGGAGCTGAAAGGAGCTGAGCTTTAAGGTCCCTTCCAGCCCAAACCAGTCTGTGGTTCTGCTGCTGTGCCAGGACTAAGTGCTGCCTTCTTACCCAGGAAGAAAATTGCTGCATACTCTGATGGGGAAGGGGCTGCTGGGCAAACTTTTCTTGACCAAATTCCTGGAGCCACTGGGATGTCACATCCCTAGGAAGATTGTGGTGGCAGCATGAAGCCACTGGGGTACCCCAGACACCCACTGATGCTGGCCCACAAGTGCTAGTGGAGTCCAGAGCCAGCAGCTCCTTCAGCTCTGCAGCTTTTGCCAGCTTCCAGAAATTTCTGCCAAGTTCAAACTCACACAAAAGCCTCTTCCTCAATGGCCCACACAAATGGCAGATAACAAAAGCCAGTTGCCAGAAGCTAAAAGCCAGTTTAAAAAAAAAAAAAAAAAAAGGAAAACACAGAAACCTTGCTAAAAAGCAAACTGGATAGACTTGCAGTCCTGGGTTCTAACCTAGAGGCTCTAATGAGAGGAAAACCGAAGAGAAAAATCTATCCAAATCTTGTCATCTGCTCACTTTAAAAGTACAATTTCTTGATCAATAGAAATGAAATGTATCTTCCTCTTTTCAACACACCTGATATGAACAGGCTTTGTCCTGGGAAACCAGACTGGCTGCTCAATCTCCCCTGGCTGCCCTGTCCTACCCATGCTGCTCCTGCTGCATCATTAAGGCAAAATGGAATTGATTTTGAGAGGAAAAGCAGAACAAGGCACGATTTGCTGGAGACGAATCCCCCTGAAGTAGCAAAGCCCCAGTTCACCCCTCATGTCTGTGGGGGCAGCATCACACCCCCAGTGTTATCTGCTTAATGAGCTGATCCTTTAAAAGCAGCCCCAAATGTGGGTGTAAGTGGTGTAATTGCACAGAGGGACTGGGGCAGGTTTGTTCATTTCTGGTCTATCATTAATTAAAGCAATTAGCCTGTTCAGGCTCGGTGGGGTACACAGCCATCCTGTACCTGCTGGGGAGAAGATAATCCTTTATAGAATATAATCTTTCTATCAATACACTCTAATTGCTCTGTGCATTATTAGGGGGATGGAGGATGCAGGAATACATCTCTAGGGAGCTGAGGAGGAACCTGAGAGATGACACAGGCTACACTAAAACAAAAGTGACTTCTCATGTCTGAAGCACTGAATTTTTAGCCTTCTATCATTCCCTTCCAGGCCAGGAAAATCTCCCAAGCCTGTGCCCTGGAACTCTCCATGCTGTGTAGCCAGGCAGGGCTGGGAGCAAATGGGCTGGGAGTGCCAGGACCCTGAAATCCAACCAATGATCAAACCCAGTCACGCAGCACAAAAGCAAAGCCTTATGCTGGGCATGAAAACAACCACGTGGCTGTTTAAACTGCCTGTTGGAATTCGTGTATTCAAAGTCCATCTCAACCTTCAGCCAAACTGGAAAGCGCTGAGTCAGTATAATCAGTGGGGAAACTGAGGCACGGCTGGAGGAACTCAGTCCCCAGCTGGACCACACACGTGCTTGTGTTGTGCTTTAACCTCTGGGGTAAATTTTGGAAAGAATCTATTTATTTACAGACTTGTGGTGCCAAGGCTTTCCCTGAAAGCTGTGCTGGCTGCTGTCCTCGGAGGGTGCGTGCAGTGTCCATGCCAGCAGCCATGGCAGTGGGCAGTGTGGCCTTCTTGGGTCAGCTGGGGACATGGCTCACACGGAGTGTCCCCATGCTGGGGTGGTCACACCCCACTGAGAAACACACCCCTGAGGGCAGCTCGGCCCTTTTACTGCCCCACGAGCTGTGCAGGGAGATCGATGTCCTGGAGCAACCCAGGGCAGCCTCCCCTGGCACTGATTCCTCATCCTGATGATTAAAGAATAACTCCAGGTTAATAAGGAAAAAAACAACTGGAGAGGAATGAAGCTCATTGCTGGAGGAGTTTGTGACAGAACCACCCCGGGTTGGGATGTGGGCTCCCTTCTGCCTTCAATCACTAAATGGTTAAAGCATCACTCCCCAAAAATGTTCCTTCCCACAGCTGCACCCAAACTGCAAGGTTTTACTGCAGCCCTCAGCATGCTGGGCTGCAAAGCTCTGCTCTGGAGCATTACTGAATTTTAGGGGAGAGAAAATGAGCAACATTTTAGGTATGACAAGTACCAAACTGCCTTTGTGGAGATACCTTAAGGCTCTGGCTTCTCTTAGAGTGTTTTGTTCTCAACCTCATTTCCATTCCAAACAGAAAGAAATTTTCTCTTCAACAGATCTGCTTCCTCATACACACATCTATTGCCTTGGCTCTCCCAGCCTCACATCCCACAAACCAGTGGTTTATGAGCAGCACCTGTACAGGATGCTACCCTGGTACCCAAACACAGAGGAGCTGCTCTGTGCTGTGGGTTGTACTTTGGCCTAGCTGCAAGCGTTTCCTCTGAAGTAAAGGCTTCTTTTCCAAAACTGATAAAACCCAGCCAACTCAGAATCCCTCGAATCCGTATCTATTTATTTCTCATGTTTACCCTCATTTTAAACGCAGCATTGCTTGAAAGGAGAAAGAAACTCCTCCAGCTCGGAACTGGAGCCGCACCACCTCCGAGATGAGGGGCGGGATGAAGAGCGGGGTGTGGATTTTTGGGAGCAACCCCCTCTCCCCGCGCTCGGGCCGCTGTCGGGCCGTCCCGCGATCCCTCGGCGGGTGTCCCCCCTCCCTGCCGCGACAATCGCGACCGAGCCAGGGGCGTGTCGGGGACCGCCCCCGCTGCCATCGGCGGTGCCGGAGCGGATAAAGCGGCGCTGCGGGGGCGGCTCGGCAGCGCCGCGGCTCAGGCCGTGCGGTGCGAGCGATCCGCGGCCCCGTGCCGGACCCCCCTGCCCTGCCCGGCCCCGCCGGAGCCCGCCGGAGCCCGCACACGGCCCAGGTGCGCTGCCGGGGGGGACAGGGGCGGCCCCGAGGCTTTGCTTTGCCAGGGGGCTGCGCTGGGTGGCTGTCGGGAGGAACTTCCCCGTGCCTCAGTTTCCCCGCGAAGGAAAGGTTGGTTCGGGCTGTCCGCCAGCTGTTGGCGGCTGGCGCGTTTGACCCCCTGAGGGGTTTTTTAGAGCTTTTTTGGGGAATTCTTAGAGCTTTCTTGGGTCGGACTGGGGGAAGAGTTAGCTGCTGGCAGGAAGGTGTTTTGTACCCGGAAGAGGGAAGGAACTTCTCCAGTTCAGAACTGGAGCTGGACCACATCAAAGGTGAAGGGCGGGCAGGTTTGTCCCGGCTGTGGCTGATGGGGAGGCTGCTGAGGACAGGCTGGGGCTGGAACTTCTTGCAGGAACACCCTCGGTGTGTGACCCAGCTCAACATTTCTTTGCTTCTTATGCAACATCCGCCCGCGATTTTGTAACTCCAGATGTTGATCCAAGGAGGGGAGCTGGGTTCCTGCAAGAAAAACACTCGGGGTGGGGCTGGGGGCTCGGGAAGGAGCTGTGCCAGGCTGTGCTCTGCGCAGGCAGTCGTGTATGACGGAATTATTTTGGCTTTGCACGTAGTTCTTGGAGCTCTGTGGATTTAATCCGTGTGCAGTGAGCACCAGCCGCCGTTCCCAGTGCAGGGCTGCACGTCCAGTACTCACACTGGTTCCATTTACACCCCTGCAGCTTTTGGGGGTGCAGGGGCGGGTCAGGGTGGGTGCTGACAGCTGCCTCTGTGCTCCCAGGTTTAGATCTGCACAAGAACCAAGATCAGGAACCATGGCATCCATCCCATCCAGCGGCTCGCTCATGGCCACGCACAACTATCGCAGAAGTAAGGGCAGCCTGGGGGCCAGGGGGGGCTTGGGGTGGTGGGTGAGCACATGGGGGTCTCTGCCAGCTGTGGGGGGCTGTGGCTCCAGCAGAGATGGAGCTGAGCTCAGGTCTGTGCTTTCAGCTGAAGCCCCATGTGAGTGTTTGCTGAGAAAAGGGCACAGCCAGCAGTGTCCCTGCTGCTGCCCAGACCCTCCTTGGGGCCCCCCAGCCCATCTGTACCAGCTGGTGAGGGGGCTCAAATCTCTTCAGTTGTTACTAAGATTGTAGGGGATGGGGTGGACGGTTTCACCCTGCACTGTTGCTTCAATAGTGAGCTCCAAAACCAGTCTGGGCAATGGTTGCTCCTGGTACCTCACCCAGGAGAGAGTTTCTGGTTTAATGGATTGCTTAAACCAGAGGGAATTAAAGGATTCTCCTGAGATGAAACAAGCAGCAGGCTGTTTACTAAAAGCACATGGATTATACACAGGAATTTATTTGCATCCTCTTGGCCTCGAGTCGTCTGCAGAGGCCTCTCAAAGCCACTCAATTTTGTCCTTGGGGTTGCAGGTTTTTTCCTGCAGAGGTGTCCAGGTGTTTTTCTGCTCCCTGTGGTTGGAATCTCCCCAGTGTTCTCTTCCTAGTGATTTTTACTGGCCTGGCACTAAACTGGGCAAGTAGTGGAGTGAGTCAGTGATGAGGCTGAGCCGTATCACCCAGGCACAGCCTCACCAAGGCTGTGTTTTCCTTCTCATGGCACAGCCATGGGTCAGCAGTGGTTCTGATGGCCGTGATTTTTCCACAGGGCGCCTGAGCTCCACATCCAGCACCAGCTCCTGCAGCTCAGAGTACTCTGGGGAGGTCATCCCCCATGGCCCGGGTAAGTGTCACCTGTCCTGGCTCACTCTGCTCCCAGTCCCTCCTTGGGAACTCTTACTGCAGGTGACCCAGCCTCTCCTGTGGGGCGAGGCTGGGGTGCCCAGCTGGCCCTGACCTGGACTCTCCCTGTCATGTGCCGTTCCTCAGACCTGCCCAAGTCTGACCCCGGCCAGTGGTGGGCCAGCTTCTTCTTTGGGAAGACAACTCACCCAGCCATGACAACGGTGTCAGAGTCCCAGGAGAGGTGAGTGCTCACACGGGGGAGCACCAATGCAGCACCCAGGCCACGTGGGGCTGTCCCTGCTGCATCCCCCCGGGCGCATCCTGACCCAATGGACCGCGTCCTGCCCAGGGCTCCCGCGCCTTCGCTGCAGGAACAAACGCAGAGCAGTAGTGCCACGTCTGGGGGCTGGCACGATGGCTGACTGTCTCTCTGCTGTGTGTTACAGCCTGGGAGCTCTGCGGGTGGCCACGGGACCCGTAGCCTGCGGGCTGGTGGCAGCCCCGGGCGCAGGGCGGAGGCGCCACGCCAGCGAGTCCAGCGCGGGCCCCACGGTGTGATGCGGGCGAGCATCCCGGCTCGGGGGTGCTCCCTCCCACCCCGGCGGGCACAGCCCCTCCCCTGTAGAATAGCCGGCTGCTCCAAGCAAAAAAATGCGCTGCTTTCTGATGGAAAAGCGCAGCAACCCCGACGATTCCACTCCAGCCTTTTTTACTCTCTCCCGGTGTAACTAAGCCCTCTCGAAGCAGAACACGTTTTTATTACCTTCAACTCGTACAATGGCAATGAATAAACTTGAGCAGCCTTTTAAAACGTTGTGGGTTGTTTCTGTCCGGGGAGGGGGACAGCAGAGCGGTGCTGGGGGTGTTGGTGGGGCTGGACCAGGACACAGCACAGAGCAGCAGCAGGATGTGGTGGTGCCAGGTATCACGTGCCAGCCTGACTCACTGGGCCATGTGTGTTTTGCACATGAGCAGGATCTGGCCGGGCTGTGGTGGTGTTGCAAACGCCTCCCCTCGCCCTCTTCTCTCCTTACTTGGCTACACAGCCTGTCCCTGCTGGCACTGAACTTGTTTTGTTCCCTGAACACACGGCTGCTCTGCACTGCTTTGGTAGCTTGAAGGCTAGGAGCGAGTGCCAGGGCCTGAGCAGGTGTGGCTGGGGCTGGGGGAAGGATTTGGGGTGCACAGTGACCCTTCCATAATGAGAAGAGAGATTAAACTTGCTCAAGACATGCATTTATGTACCTGGCTATCAGGCTGGAGCTCATGGTGTGGATGGCAGCTCAGAGGCTGCACTGGGTTTGCAGCCCTGGATCCCAATTGCCCCAAGTGCTGTTTTACCTGATTTTTGCCTTCAATGGTTCAGTTTGGCTGTTTGATCCTTCCGTGACCAGCCCAATAGCTGGGAAAACAAGAGCCTGCATGAAGGGAGTGCCTTTGTTCCTGCTGGAGGCAAAAAAAAAAAAAAAAACAAAACCTTGGAGCTGTTGATTTAAAGGTGCCAAATCTTCCTGCTCTGCTCCCAGCCACAGCATGAGGTGTGGGGCTGTCCCTGTGGGCACCAGGTGCTGCAGCCCTGGTGGCAGCTGAGGCCATGGGACCCCTGAGCTGTGACTTTGCCTCCTGGTGTCCTGTGCTGGCAGAGCAAAGGGCAGGGAGCAGCTGGGGGCAAGTGGCTGCTCTGCTTTGTGGCTGCTTGCAGGGGCATCCAGGGTCACTTCCAGTTCTGTTGTTTTTACAGTGGAAAGTGTTGAGTAAGCTTTTCACTGAGCTCTGCTCTCCCAGGCACTGGTCCTTGTCATGGGGGCAGAGTGTCTGTGTCCCCTGTCCCTCCGAGGGGCCAGGGCAGCACTGGCACCTCTGTTCCCCCTGGATCAGTGTGTGGATCCAAGGGGGATGGCTCCAGGAGTGTTCCAGCAGTCTGGGCACTGCCAGCACCCCGAAGGTGACCCCCATGTCCATGGCAGCATCTGACCTGATGTGACTTCCAGTCAGGCAGCAAACTGTTGTTGTTGTGGGGCTGCACATGGCAGCCTTTAAACTTCATGAAACACAGGAAAATCATTATAAAATAAACCCTTTCTGACTAAGACAAGGCAAGGAGGGGTGGCTGGCTGGGACATGTGGTTGTGGCACTGCCCCAGGGTCTTCCCAGGGCTCAGCAAATCCCTTTGGGTGCTGCTCAACCCCAGGGTGCCTCAGGGGTCTCCTCTGCTGCTGGCTGCCAGCAAAAGCCACATATTTTGGAGAGACAAATATTTTTTTCCAAGCCTGGAAATCAGTGTGGACACATAAAGGTAAAGTCAATATCTCTGTATTTGCTTGTTGGTCTTGTGATCATGGAGGGACAAACCCAGCAACTGTCCTCAGGCACCCAGGGGAGGCAGTGACAGAGCAAAGGCACCAGTCCCACATCCCTGGCTTTCATCTGGGCACGTTCCCCAGCCTGATCCAGCTCTAAGTGAGCTGCTCTGTGAGGCCATGAGCACATGGATGCTCCCCTGTCCAGTTTTTGGATGCTGGATGAAGGCTAAGTTCATTCCCACACTGCTCCAAGGTGGGTTGGATTTACAGCAGGGACTGCAACACCTGTCAGAGGCTGCCCTTCTGCCCATGGTTCCCTGTCCAGTGAAGCAAAACTGCCTGGAAAACCCCTGATGAGTTAAAGGCTGTTTTTCTGAATGTGAAGTGTCACAGCCTCAGACTCCTTCTCTGCTGGGAGTGGAGATAGAGTCCAGATCCCCCCAGGTATGCTCCTGGGCAGCTTCATGGCATTTCTCAGAGCAAAGCCCTTGGTATTGCCTTTTTTTGCTTGTGATTGAAAGGATTTTAGGGCCTTTCTTGCCCTTTCACAGCCTGCAGACATTTTGGAAAAGCATCTGACAGCCGAGCACATTTATTTTTGTTCTGTTTCTGTCTCCACTGCAGTGGGTATCTGTCTTAAGTAACAAGTGATGAGAGAAAACTCTCATTACACAATTCTATGGAACAGCCTCAGATTGTGGCAGGAGAGGTTTAGGTTGCCTATCAGGACAAATCTCCACACTGAGAAAGTTCCCAAGCATGGGATTCCCCATCCCTGGAGGGGTTTGAAAGACCTGTGGATGTGGCACCTGGGGACATGGGTTAGTGGTGGCCTTGGCAGTGCTGAGGGAATGGCTGAACTCAAAGATCTTAGAGGCCTTTTCCAACCTAAGTGATTCTATGATTCCAGCTGATTTCCTGTGTCCTTGTGTTGCTGCTGTGGTGGGATAGCAAGGGAAACATTGTGCAGTAGAAGCAAGGTAATGAAAGGGGTTCCCCATACACTGTACAGCTCCCTAATCAATCCCCTTCTTCCTGCACGGAGGGGCAAGCACGCACCTCCTATGGCATCAACTCCACAGGGACTGACGTCCCCCCTCTGCTCCCTCGATGGTGTTTTAACTGTTGATTAATGCACATATTTGCTAAAAACTCGCTGGTGTTTTCTGCTCACTCGTCCTTTGCAGCAGCCCTCGTGCCACCCCACCGCCTCCGGCCAGAAGTATTTCTTTCCATTCCCTGCCTCTTGCTGCTGGGGGTTGTTTTGGTTTGGTTTGTTTCCCTCCAGCAGCTCTGCTTCCCCCTCACCCTTCAAACGCTGATGTGGGACCTTAAAAATAGAAATGAGCTGTGCAGCTGAAATACATCACATTAGCCCGAGGCTGCTTCCAAATGCCACTGGGTCAAGGCTCCCATCCTTGAATCCTCAAACGGGCACATGCCAGGCTGCAAATGGAGCAGGAGGTGCCTGTAACAGCAGGATTTGCAATGCCCACTCCAGAGCAGTGCTGGAGGGACTTGGACCCCAGCATTCCTGCCTTTGTGGAGTGGATTAAGGAAAAGCCTGGTCCAGTTTTTGGGGGAGGGCTGCAGTGCCCAGCTCAGGCTGAGATCATGGGAGCAGATAGGAAAATTTGGGTTCCCCTCCCCACCCACCCCCAACTTTATCTACTTTTAGAAAACAAGTAATGACTCTCAGAAATGCCAAAACCCAGCAGACTGTGATGGAGGGCAAACCCAGGCTTTTCATGCAGCAGAGGAAGAGGAGGAGGAAGGAAAACTGCTGTGGGAAACACTGTGTCATTACATCTCCAAGAGCTCCCTGTGACTGCTGAGTGAGCTGGTTTTGGGCCATGTGTGTGACAGCCTGGTGCCCTGCCAGCCCCCCTGGCATCTCTGGGTACCCCACCATGGATGGCTGTGCCCCACACCAGCCCCATCACCCCACGCACGCCCTTCTCCTCCTGCTTATTTTTGAGCTCCATCTGGTGGCAGCCAGACCTGCAAATTTAGTCTTTATTGCTATTTGAGCAGCCTGGTCTAGTGGAAAGTGTCCCTGCCCATGGCAGGGGGTTGGAACAAGGTGATCTTGAAGGTCCCTTCCAACCCAAACCATTCTGTGATTCTGAGGTGCTGCAGCCTCCCCTCACCGTGTCCCTGCCCTTCCTTAGTGTGCCACAACCCTTCACCTGCTGGATGTGCCTTCAGTCTTTACTTTCCTGCAGGAGAGGACCTGGGCTGGACATAGCTGTGCTCTCTGCTCAGGTGTTTGATCAAGCTGCAAAATGTTTGTGCAAGGAGAGGATTTCCTCTTGCAACCTTGTCCAAACTCAACCTGTTGCTTTTTCCATCTGGGAACACTCCAACCAGGAGCTGCTGCCTTCCCAGGACAGGGCTGCAGCTCTACGGGAACAGAGCAGGCTTCATCCCACCCCTAAACCACATTCCTGCCTCCCCTTTCCAGGCCCCTCGTGCTTGGAGACTTGCTCAGCCAACAGCCAGACTTGTTTCTGCTGTTCTGCACAGCATGGACACTGCCCAGGCATGGGGAATGTTATATAAACTTTATTAACTTTATAAATTCCAACATTGCTGTTGGCTCAGTCCCACTGGTCACCTGCAAAGGGGCAAGATGAGCTTGTCAGGAAGAATTCTAAACCTCTGCCAGTTGCTTTTCACCCACAGCCTGTCTGCTCCTGCCACCAGTGCCACAATTGTGTTAGGGCTCTAACAGCCCCACTCAGGCTGCCCCTGCCTGCACCAGCCTTGAGCCTTGACATTGCTCAATTCCTGATTTTCCATGTGTTTTTCCACTGCTGCCAAGGACAGTCCTGCCTCTGGGAGCGTGCATGGGCAGGGGGCAAGAGGGACTTGGTGCAGCAAACTCTGCCATGGCTAGGGAGGGACCTGAGGCTCAAGGTCCCCCTGCAATGCCACATCCTGGGATTAGGGAGGAGCTGAGGGTGCTGGGAGCATCTCTTGGCTTTCCCCATGGATGGAATAAAGAGCAAAGTAGGCTGATGCAGGGTTTCAGCTTTGCTGCCTGCACCTGGGATAAGGACTCATTCAATATTAGAACCCAGACATTCATTTTTCTTGGAATAACCACAGGAGGGTGAGTGAGACAAGGATCCAGAGCAGAGCAGCCCAGTCAAGAGCTGACTGTGCAGACTCCTCAGGGCATGTGGGGCTGCTGCCTGGAAAAGGGGTGGCAGAGGCACACAGGGTACTTGGGTGCAGACAGTCCAAAGAAACACAAGAATGGTTTTATCTGTGGTTCCAAGAGTGGGGCTAGTTGCAAATCAGTGCTTCCTTGAACCTGTCCTTGGTGGGCTCCTTGAACCCATCCCTGGAAGTGTTCACACCCAGGCTGGACAGGGCTTGGAGCAACCTGCTCTAGTGGAAGGGGGGTCCGTGTCAGGGGAGGTTTGGAACAAGATGAGCTTTAGGGCCATTCCAACCCAAGCCATTCCATGATTCCCGGGAGGGAGTGGAGCAGTGTGCTGA